GTACAATAAATCTTGTCCACTCTCATTTTTTTTCTATGAAATGCTTGCTTGTGGTGGGTAGTCCTGAACTACATTAATCCTATTTGATCAACGGATACAGTCACTCCTGCTTATGTTTCCTCTCCTCTACCCAAATATTGATTCCGTACATGTGAGAATTTTGCAAGGGTTTAAGGATTTCCATTTTGAAAGTTTGGTTACTGCTTTCCTACTGTGTTCAAAAGCTATTGTCAGGTCTGAAGAAATATCCTTATTGCTTAAATTTCATTTCCTTAGAAAATAAAATTTATAGCTTAGACAGTCACTCTGATTTTTGACTGTACTTTACAGTGGTTTAAATGGTACAAAATGTTTTACCTGTGATTTTTAGTCTGGTCAGCAGATATTTTACTATTTTCTCACGATGTAGCCTACACTGTTTTGCATTGAATTTGCTTAGCATATATTTGCAAAAAATTGCTGGAGGTCTGCATTCAAAATACAGTTTGTCTGAAATATACTGTGTGCAAGGAAAAGTCTTGTCACAATATACCTCACTTTTCAGTCTGTGACAGGGAATAAAACAGACTTTCACACTTTCTTATCGCTCAAGTTGGGATACAGTACTAGTGTACCATCTTGTGCTCCAAATACAGGAGTCTCTGGCTGTAGTATTTGAGGCCTGGATTATTGGAGTCTGTTTCTGTGACCTAACCCTGACCTGCAGTGCATACATATCTGGAATGCTGGCAGGGTTTGGAGTGCAGCTGTGCAGCTGACTCCTCCAGAATAAGTAACTGAAAGGTTCTGCATAGCTTTTGTGCTGAAAAGTATATTTTACAATAAAGCAGCAGTAAGAATTTGGAAATATTAGGGGAAAACAAGAAAATGGCTTATTAGAATGTCTGTGTGGTTTGCTATATTTAGCTGATCATATTTTTTAGCAAAAAAATCCCCTCTGTTCCACAATGCATAAATTGCTTTTAGGCAAGAAATTCAGGAGGTTAAGCACTTCATAGAGATTTTGGCTCCTAACCAGTGGGCATTCTACAGCGTATAGTTGGCCAACATTGCATTGATGGAGACCCTGTTTCTTTAAATATGTAAACTAGGTTTCTCAGTAGCTGGATCACCTCAACTTAAAATAATTACAATGCACGAGGCATGATTTCATACTGCTTAAACAAGTCTCAGTCTCGAGAAGAGGCAACTGAGAGGGGACCTCATTAATGTATTCAGGTACATGGAAAGGAAGTGCCAAGATGATGGAGCCAGACTCTTCTCAGTTGTGGAAAAACAAGAGGCACAGTTAAAAACTAATGCACAGGAAGTTCCACCTGAATATGAGGAAGAACTTGTTTACCGTGCAAGTCACTGAGCACCGGAACAGATTGCCCAGGGAGGTCATGGATTCTCCCTCACTGGAGGTATTCAAGAACCGTCTGGATGCAATCCTGAGCCATGTGCTCTAGGGGGGCCCTGCCCAAGTAGGGAGGTTGGACCAGACGACCCATTGTGGTTCCTTCCAACCTAACTGATTCTTTGATTCTGTAACCAGAAAAAAATCAATTAAATAAAAAGGCCACAGAATCTCATATCCACTAGAAACTAAATGAAGCAAGGGCAGGACAAGCTTTATCCATGGCCACTATGTTCTCTTAATCCACTTTATATGTTTTTGGTCTTCTGACTTGACCCTTGCCAGTCATGCCTAGAGCTTGTCAAGACATAAAAGGAAATAAAGGCAATTCTCCCTGTAGCTGAAAGAGATAGGAGTGTGGGACCAGAAAAGAATTTTCAACTGCTTGGTGCATGAGTTTGGCAATGTAAGGGAATATTTAATGGTAGCTGATGCTTTCTCATGAAGGTAAATTTTCTATCATG